GCTGCCAGGATTGGCCGAAAGAGGTGGCAAGTAGCCTCACATTTTTTAATCGTCAAACTTATAATTTTAATTTAGTTAATACTATTAAGATTATTAATATTAATACTTTTCTGTTAAGTGGTATAAATTTTACTTTATAAATGAATTTAATATTTATTTTTGTAATATTTAATATTAGAAAAACAACTTATTTAAAAACTATTAAAAATTCATTTAAAACACAATTTTCAATTTGAGTAATCAAACATGTTTGATAGAAAATTATAATAATAGTAATAAATTTATTTTAAGCAAGCATATTTTGAGAAGTTGAAGGATTTGGGAGATATGAAGTAAGATTTTCTTCCCTAACATGCGAAATGTTTAGATCAAAAGTATGAATCAATAAATGTTATAATCTACAAGATATTTTCAGGCGTTCGTACGAATACACTATGATACACACTATGATACATGTATTTGTTATTAAAATATAATAAAAATTAAATTAATTTTTTTTAAAAAAATAATAAGTTGGTATATATAATTTTTTTAATATATACAAATATTTCAATGAATAATATTTTTTTGTTATATAAATATTATTTATATTTTAGAATTGTTGTAAAAAAATATTTAAACAAATAAATAAATTTGTTTTTATTAATATTCAATATTTTGATAAGTAATTTCATATTTCCGTTAATATTTGATAATTTGATCAGTAATTTTATGTTCCATTAATGTTCAATATTTTGATCAATAACTTAATATTTTTGTTAATATTCAATATTTTGATCAGTAATTTTATATTTTTGTTAATATTCAATATTTTGATCAGTAACTTCATATTCTCATTAATATTCAATATTTTGATCTTTAACTTCATGTTCCGTTAATATTCAATATTTTGATAAGTAACTTCATGTTTTCATTAATATTTAATATTTTGATCAGCAACTTCATGTTCCCGTTAATATTCAATATTTTGATCGATAACTTCATGTTCTCATTAATATTAAATATTTTGATCAATAACTTTATATTCTCGTCAATATTAAATATTTCGATCAATAACTTCAGGTTCCTGTTAATATTCAATATTTTGATTAGTAACTTCATATTCCCGTTAATATTCAATAGTTTGATCAATGACTTCATGTTTCAGTTAATATTCAATATTTTAATTAGTAACTTCATATTTTCGTTAATATTCAATAGTTTGATCAATGATTTCATCTTCTAGTTAATATTTAATATTTTCATCAGTAACTTTATATTCTCGTTAATATTCAATATTTTGACCAGTAATTCGTGTTTTCGTTAATATCAACTAATAACATAGTATTTGTAAATATTGTTTTAATTGTATAAATAAAAATTAGTAACATAAATAAATATTTACTCGTGTTTGGATTCATACATTCTATTGAGTATATTTAGTTTTATTTTCTTTAATTGTATAAAAAATATAACGACCAATAAGTTCACACGAATTCTGATCTAGATACTCGTGCGTTTGTACGGATATTGATATGTTAAACACATTTATTTTTAAAATGTAATAAGAATGAAAAAACTAAAAGACAAAATCATTTAATCAATTTATTATTTTTAAAAGAAAAACATATAAAAATATATTCAATATACGTTATTTATAAATTATTGACAAAAAATAATATTTTCAAGAATTTGATCTTGTTAAAACTTTAAATTTTAATATTTTAATAAATATATTGCTATGAATATTTGTTATTTTATTTAAATTAATTATTTAATAAAATTTGATATATATACACCCTCATGTTGGTCTATTTTTTTCCGCGTGCAAGCAAGAAATTCTATAATTTCGTTTCTTCTTTCATTTTGATTTCTCTCTCATATACTTTAATTTAAATTTATTTGCAACAATTAATTATTAGTTATTCATGTACTGTAATTTTATTATTAAAAACCTTAGTATTTTAAAGTTATAATATTTAAATAGACTAAGGTTGAAACTTACTAATAAAAAATAGTGAATTTCCTGTTTTCTTGTATAGGGTTGACATATTCATCTTTAAAATATATATATATATATATATATATATATATATATATATATATATATATATATATATATATATATATATATATATATATATATATATATATATATATATATATATATATATATATATATATATATAATCCGCTGGTTAATTAACATCTCCATAGTTTCTACATGAATTGATTTTTCCACTTCTATAAAAGCTTATAGGCATAGTGTTTTTGCAGGATTAAGACATCGACTTTGATGGCGATGATCAGTCACTTGAGTTGTTTAAGTGTAAATGTAGCAGTAGATTCTGCAGGAATATTAAGCGAACAAATGGTAAATTATAAAAAAATTTGAGTCTTCGCTACTATCATTTCTTTCATATTGCATTACAAAGAATATAAACATGTAAAATCATAGGAATTTGATTGATAATATCAAATAATATTTTGCCTATATTTCTTGAATAAAGATCGAAATCATTGTCCGGCATCACCGAAATGATGATGTAAACTTTCTAATTTGTGCTTTTAATGATATTTTATTATGAAATTTTTAATATTTATTTACAATAAAGAGAAGTATTATTTTTATCTTCTATAGTTAATTTAAAAATATTTTTCATTAGCCACAATTTGTCTGACTTGATTGTTGTAGCAGTATAACATGCAATAAATATCATAAATATTGAAGACAATAAAAAAGGACAGTACAAATTAAGCCGACACAAATTAATAGACATGAAATGCTACTACATATACTTTTCCTAAATCATATTCTTTTTCACTGCCGGATCTCTAAATGATTCTTTTCTCTATAGCAGAATAATCTGCTAAGAGAAAAAAAAGGAGTTTCATGACCATTGAATTCAAAAACCTGCTAAGATAAAAAAGGAGTTTGCAATCTGAAGCACCAATTCAGCATTCAAGAGAACAATCTTCATATTGTTGAGCTTGCTTCTTGTGAAATGTGTCCCAAAAGAATATAAACATTGTAAAATCATAGGAATTTGGTTGACAATATGAAATAATAGTTTGCTTATACTTTCTTTATTAAAAGACGCTGCAGAATCTAAAAGTCCGTCGTCATGTTCCATTGGTTCCTGCTGGCTATACGAGAAATTCACATAATCAGGGTGAAATCCACTTATCAAACTTACTTACAGGGACAAATGTCGGCTTACAAACAGTTAGCACATATGGTTCTTTTAGAATACGAGAATTCAATGCAAACATTTCGAACCTCAACCTTGATTCTTTAGTATAAAAACATAAACCTATAATTTAATGCATAAATTAAAAGCTACTTTGACATAATATTTAGTGACAATATTTTCCACCTTCCTATAGCATCCTCCAAATGGCACCTAACCATCACATAAAAAACATAAAAAGACACACAGATCAGTGAACATGAAATTGTTATTTGCCATAAAATGCAGAACTGTAACAACATTAGTGTGCTCAGAAAAATGAAACAAATCAAAAGCCATAGGAAACAGTCCAGCCATGTAGCAGGTAAGTGTAAAAGAGACTATTGATTTTGCTTCTTCAAAAAACATATATGCTTCATCAAGCCTGTCAATTTTAGATAGTCCATCAACAACATAACCATAAGTTTCAACAGTGGGTTGTAGACCCTTTATCTTCATTTCCTCCAGCAATTTGTATGCCTTATTGATCTTACCAGACTTGCAAAACCCATCACTTACAGTGTTGTGAGCAAAGAGAGCATAACTCACTATTTATTTCTTATATCCTTTCTTAAATTACTCGAATCCAATTGATGCAAGTTTGTACATAACAATTGAAGAAAAAGTGTCAAACATCACCGCTAAATGATAGACTTTACGATTACACTAACAACAATATAAACAACTAATCATCACCTTGAGGAAAAACTTAAAGGAAACTCTGCATGTGGAAAATACATTGTTATACTACCTTTCATTAACTCTCACTTTTATCTCCCCATTTAGGCGTGCTTCAGCTGCAAGGACACGGGCATCCACAGTTTTCTTTATATCTCGTTACAATCTCCTATGAAAATCCTTGAACATCGTTGATCCTCCCGACAAAACTATATTCTGAAATGAAAAAGACAAATGGGAAAGTAGTTAAGGTTAAGAGTTCAATCATTAAGAACATGTAGAGTGGAGGCCTTGAATTTAATAAGATCCTAAATTAAATATTTGGTCTTGTCTGTGGACTGATATAGCACATGGAACAAATGTATTGCATCTAGGCCAACAACAGAAAATGCACTTCACTAAAGATTGAACAATAGAAGTTCTCTAATACTAAGGTAAAGCTGAAATTTAAAATTTTAAGAATATCAAGTTAAAACAGCATATGAAATATTTGGGTCTCAAGTAGGCACTTTCATGGCTTATTTCATACAAAATGTTACCATAAAATTGAGATGAGGTGCTTCACCTTATATAGTGATCTCCTTGTGTCAATTGGTGCAGACTGAATGCACTTGTCTATTAGTAAAGGTTCTTGCTATATGAACTATAATACGGTCATAAACAGGAATTCAACACTAAGAAAATGTTTAGAACTATAATCTATTTTTCAAAAATTAGTATTTCTTATTCAACACTGAGAAAATGTATAGAACTATAATCTATTTTTCGACTATGACACTTACTTTGCTGCAGAACTAGCTTTCCATTCAATACGATTCGGATCCATGCTAACAGATTGCCATCCATCACCAATTATCACAAATTTAGCAGAAACTCCACCTTTATCAATTATCGCCAATGGACATCAATATTTATCTTTGTCTGTCAAACAATCTTCAGCACAAGGTTTCACACAAGTCAATTTAAGTTTTATTTTACCAATCTTCATCAGCGATACACTTGTTGCTCTTTTACTATGAATACAAACCAACACTGTTTGAACATTATAGAACTTTTAACCTGGGAGAATAGTGTTTTTTATGAAAATCCATACCTTTACAGCTCTTTGATTGCTTAGTTCCAGCACCAGCTCCCTTGCGGTTCAACCTAACAAGCAAAAACGAACACGAGATCAGAAACATTAGATAAAAAAAAGAAAATAATTGAAACTTCCTAATCTAACAACACGGTTCGTTTAAGAAAACTTCACATTAACTTCTCTATTTTGCCAACAATCAAATGTCCTTATAAAAGAGTTTAAGCATGGAACCTTTAAAGCTTTTGGAAGAGCCAGAGGTGATTGTTGCAAGAGAACTGTATCAGGGTTCAGTTTTGAATACAAAGCACAACAACATGAAGTTGGATCATCCCATATGAGGTTGCTACTCTCTTCTCCTGTTTGATGTTTACCTTTTAAACTTTTGGTAGTAGACACAGAATCAAGCTCATTAGTTGCAAGCAATGCCACGTCTATGCTTACTTCTGTATACTCTTTAATTTCAATTCCATTCTCCTCTAAATGAGTTTTTACCTGGCATAAGACATAATTTTCAATAAGTTGTATTTCCAAATTAGCACCTCCTAATCTAAAGATACTAATATCATAAATGAGACTAATCGAACTGACCTTAATAGACACCTTTTGTTTGTCCACATAAATGAAGGCGGAATCGGCGGATGTCACAATAGCAAATGCGTGAGCAACGGAATAGTACGCCACATCATTTCCACGTACAACCAAGCAACCTGTATTTAGTGACATCGAATAAAATGAAGAAAAAAATCTTTAAAAGGATGAACATTTGAGGAAGAAAATACCGTCCGATTAAAAACAAAAATTCATAGGAAAAAAACAAAAGGGACGGACTATTAAGAGGATACACTCACTTCATCGAGTGTTGTTACAACTAATCCTTGAGCATGCTCCTGTACAAATTTCTTTCTCAAATCTAGCAACTTATCTATGACAGAGCGACCTGCAAACTCTAACGGCTGTACGACGACCGCTTTAATCTCTGCTGGTGGACAATTGGTCCATATTTCATCTACCAAATTTTTCATTGTTTGGACCAGCTTCTGGTGTTTTTTGGTAAAAACATGTTCCCATCTTTGAGCAGTATAAATTGAAATGCACCAAGGGTCAACCCAATTGCTGCATCTTTTGGTAAGTTCTAGCAAATGAAAATGACTTATTAGTACAAACATGAAACATGCCATACAAAAAATCATACATACAAAAATCATACATACAAGCAGAGATCGCGAGCGAAAGAGACTGAGTCGTTGATAGCGATGCACGTAGGAGAAGAAGGAGAATCAAACTTTGACGAAACGGAAGGAGAGTCATTGATGGAGTGCACAAAGTCGAAGTCGAATAGGGATGAATTGTATGGCCATGGCGGTTGAAGAAGGAAATCAACAATTGCTTTCGGTTGGAAATCCACTAATAGACTATGATGAATTTCTACCACAATGACGATTAGTTATGAGAAAAACAAAGAAAAGAAAACAAGACAAATAATTTCTGCAGAGTTTTTCTCTGCTCACAAACTGTGAAAAAATTTATTATTCACTTTGCAACTGCAAAATACTGTGAATGACTTGATTGACTTGCTTACAAAAATAGGGGTTACTCCCTCTATTTATAACTGAGCTTACACCCTAAGCCCGGAGCCCAAAATATCTATTTTGTTACTAAATCAAATCTAATTTATTCTAGACTTAAATCAAATCTATTTGAATCTAAACAAATCAAATCTTTTCGACACACTGAATTACAATTTAACACACCACCTAATTCATTGTGTCTAAACTATCTATGTTCATCATGGCTCTTAGTCTTCTGAATACTTCGACTTGCACTCCCTTCGTCATGATGTCTGCAATCTGATTCTCAGTTATGCAGTGTTTCAAATTCATCTTCCTATCTGCTACTTGCTCTCGAAGATAATGGAACCTCATTTCGATGTGCTTACTTCGACCATGTTCTATTGGATTCTTCGCCAGATTGATAACTGACATGTTGTCGATCTTCATGATAATTGCTCCATGATCTTTCCCTGTTATCTCTTCGACCAAGTTCACCATCCAAGTTGCTTGACATGCACAAAGAGAAGCATCTATGTATTCTGCTTCGCATGATGATAATGCCACTACTGGTTCCTTTCTTGAATTCCAAGCAACTGGTGCACCACCTAGCATAAACACATATCCTGTTGTTGACTTTCGATCTTCAGCATCACTACACCAACTCGAATCAGTGTATCCTACTAACTTGCATTCTTTTCCTTTATTAGTTGCAGGAAACAAAATGCCATAATCGAAAGTTCCTTTGAGATACCTTAGTATCCTCTTCACTGCTGCTAGATGTGATACCTTTGGCTTTTGCATGAATCTGTTTACCATACCTACATTGTATGCTAAGTCAGGCCTTGTATGACAAAGGTATCTCAATGACCCAATAAGTCTTCTGTATTGGGTTGGATCAACATCATCTTCATCTGCATCTTTCAACAGTTACAGTCTTGGTTCTGCAGGTGTCGAAGTTAAGTTGCATTCTTCCATCTCAAACCTCTTGAGAATTTCTCCTGCATATTTTCTTTGATGCATCATCAAACCTCTACTGCTCTTGTAGAATTCGATTCCAAGAAAGTATGAAATCTCACCCAAATCAGACATTTTGAATTCCTTGCTGAGATCACCTTTGAAGTCTTCGATCTCACTCTTGCAGCTACCTGTTATCAACAAAACATCTACATAGAGACATAATATAAGCAATTTACTCTTGCTTCTTCTTACATATACTCCATGTTCAGTTGTGCACTTCACAAATTCCTTATCCCTTAGGAAACTATCAATTTTCTTATTCCAAGCCCTTGGAGCTTGTTTTAATCCATATAGGGTTTTATGCAGCCTGTACACCTTTCTTTCTTCGTCATGTTTCACAAATCCAACTGATTGTTTAACATAGACTTCTTCATCTAAGGGTCCATTTAGGAATGCACACTTCACGTCCATCTGACATATGTGCCAACTGTTTATTTCTGCTAGACCAACAACTAACCTGATTGTTTCGATCCTAGCAACAGGTGCAAAAACTTCATCGAAGTCTATTTCTTCTTTCTATAGAAATCCTTTCGCCACAAGTCTTGCTTTGTGTCGAGTTACTTCACCTTTCGAATTCGTTTTCACTTTGCATACCCACTTGACATTAATTGCCTTTTTGCCTTGAGGCAATTCAACAAGTGATCAAGTGTAGTTGTCTTCGATAGACTTCACTTCTTCATTCATTGCTTTCACCCACTTTGAATCCTTCAATGCTTCAGTTGCATTAACAGGTTCGACATCTGCATAGAAAGCATAATGTATCAGCTCACCTTCATCATCTATCACATCATCTGATGTAATCACACAATCTTGCAATCTTGCAGGCATGCGTCTTGTTTTTTGAGGTCTGCTTGTACTTGGTATATCTGTTGGTTCCTCTTGTCGAACTTCTCTTTCGACTTGAGTTTTTGGATCTTCGAATAGGATTCCCACTAAATCTTTCTTAACATTTTCAGTCCAATCCCATTCTTTAAACTCATCTATGATCACGTCCCTGCTGATCACAATCTTCTTGTTCTCTGGATCAAACAACTTGTAGCCTCATGTCGAATGATATCCAACTAGAATCATTTGACTTGACTTGTCATCGAGTTTTCTTCTCAACTGATCTGGCACATGTCTATGTGCAATAGATCCAAATACCTTCAGATGACTCAAGCTAGGCTTCACACCAGACCAACATTCTTCTGGAGTAATTCCTTCTAGCTTCTTTGTAGGACATCTGTTCAAAATATATGTTGCAGTCAAAACAGCTTCACCCCAAAACTATTTAGGTAAATTATTTCCTTTCAACATACTTCTCACCATATTCATGATGGTTCGATTCTTCCTTTATGCAATTCCATTTTGTTGTGGAGTATAGGATGGCACCACCTCATGCAGAATCCCTTCCTTTTCACATAGCCTGTCGAAGTCTTTCGACACATATTCTCCACCACCATCAGTTCTCAAAACTTTGAGCTTTCGACCATAGACTTAAACTTGACAAATACTTCGATCACTTCACTTTTCTTCTTGATCAGGTAAGTCCATAGCTTTCGACTGAAATCATCTATGAATGTAACAAAGTATTTGTTACCTCCCATCGAATCCACCTGGATTGGTCCACATACATCAGAGTATATGACTTCAAGACTAGCCTTCGACCTGCTTCCTGCATCCTTGCTGAATCTATTCTTGTGTTGCTTCGCCTGTACACATTCCTCACATACCTCGTTTGGAATGTCAATTTCAGGAAATCCTGAAACCATATTTTTTTTCTCTTCAAATCTCTAATGTCTCCAAAGTTGAGATGGCCTAGTCTATAATGCCATATCCATTCATCTCTGCTAGCTGCAGTCGAAAGACACTTGTACTCTATCACATTTAGTTCAATCTTGAAGGTTCGATTCTGAGACATAGGAGCCTTCAAGATTAATCTCCCATTTGCATCAATGACTCTCATCATCTTATCTTCGATTGATACTTTATAATTCTTTTCGATCAACTGCCCTATACTGAGCAAATTTCTCTTCATGCCTGGTATGTACAACACATTGGAGATTACTAACCTTTTGCCATCTTTCCTCATAATCATAACATCACCAATACCTTCAGCTGCTAGGGTATTGTCATTTGCAAACTTTACCATATTTTTTATTGAGGGCTTTATATTGACAAACCAGTCTTTCCTTCCAGACATATGTGATGAACATCCTGAATCCAAGTACCATTGGTCCTTGAATCTATCTTCATCTTTTGTTTTGACCATCAGCACCATCTCTTCTTCTTCTTCTTCTTCATGTTTTGCAAGCTTTGCATCACTTTCTTGATTCTTTCCTTTTTCTGGACAATCACTCGAATAGTGACCATACTTATGACAATTGTAGCATTGAATGTGACTCTCATCAGGTTTTCGACCACCACCTCTTCCTCTATGCAACACCACCTCTTTGGTTTCCTTGGTATGGCCTTATTTGATTCGACACGTTTCCTTTGATCTGGTTTCCTCTACCATTCGATTTGTTGTAGCCACCTCTACCTCTGTCGAAACACTTTCCTTTGCCTTTGGTTTCTTTTGCTGAATGTGCCTGTAAGGCCACATCACTCTTCGATTTGCTTGCAGCTCTTTCATTCATTCTTTGTTCATGAGATTCAAGCGTCCCTTGAAGCTCTTCCTTTGTCAATTTCGACAAGTCTTTCCCCTCTTCTATCGCCACCATTATATGGTCGAACTTAGGAGCTAAAGATCTCAAGATCTTTGAAACAACAACTCTTGTTGTTAACGTTTCTCCACATATCTTGATTTGATTTACTAGTTTTGTAACTCTAGTGAAAAAATCAGATATGCTTTTACTGTCTTCCATCTGAATCAGTTCATACGTCCTTTTGTGAGTTTGTATCCTCACTTCTTTCACCTTCTCAGTGCCTCCAAAATACTTCTCAAGAATTTCCCAAGCTTCTTTTGCAGATTCTGAATCACTAACCTTTTCGAAATTGTCTGGGCTGACGCATTGATGAATTATAAATAATACTTTATAACTCTGCTTCTCAGATTCGGTGTATTTCTTCTTTTATTCTTCTGAAGCGTTTTCTCCAAGCGCTTCGACTCCATCTTTTACAAGGTTCCAAAGACCTTGACACCTGAATAAGACTTTCATCTGTTTGCACCCATTCTCATAGTTGTCAACTTTCAGAATTGGTAGCGTTGCTGGATAGTTTGCATTCCCATAACTTCTCATAGTGAATTCTTCAATCGTTCTTGATTGATACTTCCCTTGAATCGAAACAAAAGCTCTTGATACCAGATGTTGGAAATCCACCAAAAGACTGATGAATTTCTACCACAATGATGATTAGTTATGAGAAAAACAAAGAAAAGAAAACAAGACAAATAATTTCTGCAGAGTTTCTCTCTGCTCACAAACTGTGAAAAAATTTATTATTCACTTTGCAACTGCAAAATACTGTGAATG